GAGAGAGAGAGAGAGAGAGAGAGAGAGACATGTACTATTCATTATTATTGAGACCCTCCTCTTCTCCATCTTTCCTCTCCTCTTTCTCTTCTCTCATGCTCTTCTTTGATGAGATGATGCGCTTGAATTGTGCATATGATCAAGACATGGACTTGTGATTGATTCTGGAGACTTCATGACGTGCACTGGGCCCAGACTTATATTGTATTGCTGACTGGCTTCTCAACGAGACTGGGTTCATTACACGATTCTCTCAGCAGATTTCAAGTTCAGGCCCGCCTATCAAAAGTTGATGGTTGAACGATTGAGCCACACGGGCTTTGCTTTTTCTATTTTTGGTGTGGGTTTTTCTTTTCTTTGAGGAGGGGGGGCGAATGGGTCTAGGGCTATCAACAGTAGATAGGTGTACCATTCAGCCATGGGCTTGGCTTTCTTCTTTGGGGTGTTTTTTTTTTTTTTTTGGGTGGCTTGTCTCCCAGCCCATGTGGCTTTGATCACCGGCCCCCAACTGTCTCCACCAGCCCACGTAGTGCCATCCAGTGCCCATACTATGACCTGCCTGGCGTGGTAGCACCCGCCTGACACAGTACCACCTGGGCCACATAGTACCAGCCATAGTGCTGCCCAATCCACTTGGTATCACCAACGCCCGGTCCATAGAGTATGACTGCCCCGCATGCCGGGACATGACCCACATCCCGATTAGTTCCTCTCGAACCAGATGGTGTGTTGCCCCCGCGTGGTATGCCCCGAGCTGTATGGTATCACCAAAGCCACATGATAGCCCCCGGTCCACGTAGTGCTGCCTGGCTGTGGCAAGGACAAAATTATGTCTGATGTTGGCCGTTTTTTCTTTCCATTGCCGTGCCTGTGTCTGTTAGTACAATCCGCTGCACTTTCTGTAGCCCGCCAGACATATCGCCACTCGGTCCAATGGTCACCCAGGCCATATAGTCAACTCCACAAAGCATGACTGTGTGTGTGTTTATGGCTGCATGATCCTGCATCTGTTGGTGTCATCGGGTCTGTGTAGTATAGCCCACATGGTGTACTCACAGTTGGACTTTTTTTGTTAGATTTGTGATTGCCTGTGTGGGCTTTTTCTTTTGTGTGTCAACTTTTAAGGCCTGTTTTCTTTTCTTTGGCTTTGGTGCATAGATGCCAGAGGGGCTAGGAGGACGGCACGGCAAGTCGGCATGCCTCATGAAAGAAAAATCCCGGCGCCCTTTCTGCACCGCTGGCGTAGTCGCGGCGGGTTGACTTGTAAACTTATGAAGCGTTGATCTGCTAGAGAAAAATATTTTGTAAAATCCGAAAGAGGTCAAAAAGAAAAAATGTTCAGAAAACAATTATGGACTAATATGGAGTTAAAATAGTCACATGGATGGCAAAAATTTCGGTGGCAAAAGTATAATGCATGTCTATGCCCCATGCTGTGTGACCCAGTTGGCCCAAAACTTGTACGTTTCGTGCTGCAGGGCAGGGAAAACCAAAAGGTTAAACAAAATAGGTTTGTGCCACTCTGTGGCCAGTGGTGGTGTAATGGGTGGGCATACTTGTGATAGTTTCCAGCACTCAAACATTCTATATGTGACACTCCTGAACCAGTCCTTGGGAGCTTTCATCGGTTATCAGTAGTTTTCTGAGAGAGGCCACGGGTAGGAGAAGCTGTGCTTCTCACCTTTGTTGGGAAAGTCTGGACGCTGCCACATGTTGCCCTCCATTTGTATTGATTCCAGCCTAATCCATTGCCA